GCTCGACAGGCAACAGAAAAACAGGAAATGGCCGAACAGCCAGCCAGAAGGAGAGTGTATTATAACAGTATAGTCACAGGTGCTATGGAACATGACAAGAATCACAAACACACTTGAAGAGGGGTAGCCATCTGTAGAGTATGAACCCACTTAGATAAGTCACGATTCTTATTGCTCATGGGCACATAAATGCAGATTTAGAAAAGACAGGGGGGAAAAGGGCACACAAAAAAGTCCACGACTATGTCTCCTCTAGGGGGATAGGAATCAGGGGCAGAAGGAGAGGAGAGGGATCTGTAAGGAGAAACGTGAGGCTGATAGGACTGAAAGTAATGACTACCGTACTTCTACACATGCTGCAACTGTGCAAGCACATGTTAGTTCCCTATGTGCACCATGAGTGTGCGTTATTTATGTGGGCGAGTTATATTTGGGGAAATGCGGTGATTGTTGGTTCTGGGTAAGGGAAAATGCAGATATAACTTATTTACATGTACATTTTTTTAAATTTCCCAAAGTAGTAAATAAAGACAACAATCATTAACCCTAAGCCCTCGAAAGAAAGAGGGGCCTCCTTGCTCCAGCTGCTTTCAGGGGAAGGCCCCCCAAAGTTGCAGCTAACTCAAAATTCACTTGTTCACAACTCCCAAGGGCCTGCTTTGCCCCACAGGGACAGGAATTTAAACCTCCCCGGCTGTGTGTGAGTGGGGGCAGCCAAATGCCTCCAACCAGGATGGAGCCAGAGTCCAGTCCGGGGCCTCTCCACATATCTCTCCAACAGAGAGAGACAAGCCGGGGATCCAGTGTGGCCAGATCTTCAGGAATCTGGGCCCAAGTTGTCAGGAGTGAGGAAGTCTCACTAAAGTAAAAAGGCTGTGGAGCAGTAAACTGACTCCTCCCCTCTCCTTCCCCAGCCCTTTAGCTAATCAAGAGATCAAAGTGAAGAGGAGACAGGGCAGGACCAGCACCTGGAAGGAACAGCCACCTTGTTCAGTTGTCCAGCCTGCTCACTGAACAAGGGTGCCCGGCAGAAGGGGCAGGAAGGCAGTTGGCATCTTCTGTTTGCCAAGCCCTGTGCCTAGAGGGGATCACCAAACAGCCAAACCAACTGCCATCAGTTCATTCTGATTCATAGTGACTCTGTACAGGATTTCTGAGGGCACCAGAGACAGCCTCATCTGTCTCCCAAGGAGCAGCTGATGGGTTTGAACCACTGACCGTGAGGTTAGCAGCCCAATGCCTAGCCCATAGGGTCACCAGAGCTCCTTTGGGGGGTGGGGGCTGTCTTCTCTTATTCACAACAAAATACCATTTGGAAGCCTGTTTGATGCTTTTCCTCAAGCAAGGCCCTGGGGCCTCTAGGCCACCCCAAGGTAGGAAGCAAGGTATAGGCCTGCCCTAAGAACCCAGGCCATAGAAAAACCTGACTTAGCTGGGTGGAGGCAGCCAGAGGGGATTCCTGGTCTCCCTGATAGCCGGCCACATCCCAGGGGCCTGAGTCTCAAGGGCACTACCTTCCCCAAACACAGACAGCTGGGGCCAGTCATGGGGTTGGAGCCGAGCTGCTTCCCAGAACTCAAACTTCCCCTTATGACTTGAACATTGGGATCTGTTGGTAAAACAAAGAGGAGGTCCCCTTTTAGGTCATGGGAAGTGGCTGGCAGGACATGGGGTTATGTCCTAGGAGGTGCTGTGCTAAAAGCAACCCAGAAAGCTTTCCTCAGCATGACCACCTCTCCCCCGTCTACAGCTCTATGCCAGGAGAAAGCTGAGCAAGTATCTACAGAAGAGACACTTCCACAGAGACACTTTTGGCTGGAGGGACCGGGATGGCGCCCAGGGGAATTCTTGGGAGACAGGAAAGAGAGGGGAATATGTTTTTCCTCTAGGGTACCTTGCTGTGGAGATGGGGCCTTGTCCAGCCCTGGCCCTCCATTCCTCCCAATGTCTGTCCCCTCCTGGCAGGGCCAAGGAGCCTGCCAAGGCAAACATGCCTCCGCCTATCACTTGTCCGTTTTTTATTTGATTTCACTTCCCATCCCGACAGTGGGAGCAGGGTTTGTTGCCTCACACCTGTGTTCTGTGGCTCCCAAGAAAAACTATTTACACTCAAGGCAGGCCTGGCTGCTGAAACTCATGGGGGCGGCACATTTTTTCAGAAACCACAAAATAACAGCTATTACCGGAGGTAGCACAGTGATGGAACAGCACTCATCCAAAATTGCAGGGCCTGCATTTCTCCCTGCTACCTCCCCTGGGAAGATGCCACCCAGGAGGCGGCCCTCCTAACACTTTGTTGTTGTTGTTGTTAGGTGCCATCAAGTCAGCACCAACTCATAGTGACCTTATGCACAGCAGAACGAAACACTGCCCGATCCTGGGCCAACCTCACTACTGTTGCCACGCTTGAGTCCATCGATGTTGCCACTTGGCCAATCCATCTCGTTGGGGGTCTTCCTCTTTTTATCTGACCCTCCACCTTGCCTAACACTTTAGACCTTAAGAAACTGAAAGCATTTCCCCAACATCTCCAGCCCTGGCACCTACTTGCTCCTTGGGAAAGGCTACTGAGTAAAGCTGAAATTCAGATAAACTTATAAGTAGGCCTCACGCAATATTTGAAACATATCTATTCCATCAATACTGCATGGACTATACTCAAAAAGTATTTCTTGCAGTGGCCACACAAACAAACAAAAGGCTGTTGATACTGACACTGTTGTTATTAGGTTGCTAGGTACTCAATCACTGTTGCTATGTTTGAGCCATTGTTGCAATGTATCAATCCATGGCTGCAGAGGATCTCTTTGTTGATACTATTTAGATACAAGAAAACATTTCCTAGGAGTGCCTGTGAGTCGCTGGTTAAGCACTTGGCTGCTAGACCAAAGATCTTTCCTTGGAAGCCACCAGCAGGCTCCAGTAGGCTCCTCTGGAGAACAGGCTGGACAACCTGCTCCCATAAAGAATACAAGCCTCGGAGCACATCCACTCTGTCATCTAAAGTCACTATGAACTGGGATCGACTCGAAGGCACACAACAACAAATACTTCATGGGACTGGTTTTCTTGGTTTGAAGGTGTCCCGTCACGGCTTTCTGGGCCTAGCCAGTGACTAGCCTAATGCTCCTTTGGGTCTCTGTTCTGCTTCCTCGTTTGATGAGAAACACCTGGGATCTTAAGAGCTTATGAGCAGCCACTTAAGATACAGTATTTGTTCTCCATTCACCTGGAACAGCAGAAGAAGGAGATGCAGACCCCAGATTTGGACCAGTGTCTCTCAAAAGGGAGTCCCTGGGGGCATTTATACATTAGAATCCCTGAAGGAGTCTATTAAAATACACATTCCTGGGCCTCATCTACAGTTCTATTCCAGGGCTTCTAGAAGCCATTCAGGAATCTGCATTCTTCTTAGCAAACTTCTCCTAGAAGTCAATTGTACAAAAGAGGTCTGAGAAGCAGATGGTCTAAATCTTGAAACTTACCTTTCTAATTCCTATGGAGTTGATTCTGACTCCCAGCAAGCCCACAGGATGGACTAGAGCTGGCCCATAGCATTTCCAAGCAGTCTGTATGGACTCCAGTGTGGTGCTGTAGGATAAGCACTCGACTGCTAACCGAAAGGTTGGCGGTTCAAACCCACCAGCCACTCATTTGAAACCCTATATAGGGTCAGAATCGACTTGGCAGCACACAACAACAACAACCACAAATCTGTATGGAAGCAGACTGCCAGATACTTCTCTGCTGATGGGTCCGAACCATCAACCTTTCAGTTAGGATTTCAGTTAGGAGCCCAGCTCTTTCTCCTTACTGACACCCAAAACTACCACTCTCAGGTCAATTCAGACTCACCACAATCTTATTGTAGAAGTGCTCCCTAAGATTTCTGAGACGAGAAATCCCTATGGGAACAGATAGCCTTATCTTACCCCCAAGGAGTGACTGGTAGGTTTGAACCAGTGACCTTTTGGTTAGTGGCCTCGTCTTTAACCCACTACGCCACCAGGGCTCCTGATCACCCTTCAAATAAACCACAAACCAAATCCAGTGCCACTGAGTCAATTCGGACTCACAGGGACCCTCTGTAGGGTTTCTAAGACTAAATCTTTATGGGAACAGGCAAACCCTCTTTCTCCCGAGGAGAGGTTGGAGGTTTAAGCCACCAGTCCTGAGGTTAGGAGCCCAATGCATAAGCCACAGTGCTACCAGGGTCCCTTTCTAATTGCAGTTGTTAAGTGTCATTGAGTAGGTTCCGACTCATATCGACCCTGTATAGGGTTTCCAAAGCCGTATATCTTCGCGGGAGCAGAAAGTCTCATCAGTATCCCATGAAGCAGCTGGTAGGCTCGAACTGCCGACCTTGTGGCTCTTAGTCCACTGCTTACCCTACAGTCACCATGCTCCCTCCTTTCTAATGTTGCTATCATTGGTAAGTACTGTCAAGTCAGTTCCGACTCACAGCATCCCTGTGTAGGTTTCCAAAGAGCAGCTAGTGGGTTTGAACAGTTGGCCTTGTTGTTTGCAGTCCAGTGTTTATCCTACAATGCTTCACCAGGAGTCCTTTCTAATGCTGTTGTTGTTAAGTGCCATTGAGTCAGTTCCGACCCACAGCGACCCTGTATAGGGTTTCCAAAGAGCTAGCCGGTGAGCCTGAACCTCTGACCTTGCAGTTCAAATGGCTTTGCAGTCTGGTGCATTAACCCACAGCACCACACCAGGATTCCTTTCTAACACAACCTTGCAAATAAGACACCAGCCAACACAATAGATCTTCTCCTATCTCCTATCCTGTCTGGGGTAAAAGTGATTTAACAGTAAGAAGAGTGGCTTGTCAGACAGCAAAAGAAAAATAGATGCCGTATTTGAAATTTGTATTTGAAATCTGCAGACACTCCAGGTAAAGGTAAGGTGGAAGAAATGAATAGGATCCCAGGTGTTGCAAGCTGCCAGGAGTTCTACCCGCTATGGGAGGGGTCGCATCATTACCTGGTACCCACCTAGAGCCTTGCTTCTTGCAGTACAGTTCCCTTGGGAGGTGAGGTCATCAGGGATTCGGAATAGGCCTGAATAGCCTCCTTATCCTTTGAGCCCTTTTTCCTACTACTCCAAAATAAATAGCATTTCTCCTAGAAAATAACCAAGCTAATTTACAGTCGGCATAGCAGTCAAGCACAGAAGACTTTATACAGCAGCCTTTCAGGTTTCAAAGGGCAAAGGAGAAACCGGGCAGGAGAGGCATTACAGAGCCCAATGGCTGCTAATGACGCTGAGAGCTGACGGCCTTGCTGATCTTCACCAGACCAGGAAATAAAAGCCCCTTCAGGAAACATGCTCAGATGGAGGGTCAAATCAAGAGCGAAAGAAAGGGTCTGTCCAGCTGGACACTTAGGCAGGAGATAGGAAGTGAGGTGGGGAATTGGGCCAGAGCACGCAATGTTTTAAGTCAAATTCACCAGAAACAAAGGTCCGTTGTTAAAATAGCTTTTTTTTAAAAAAAAGAATGGCTTGACCGAAAGAAATTTAAAATACATGATGGAGTTTACATGTATGTGATTTTTTTTTTTTTTTTTTTTTTAAATCAGGACAAATACCCAACAAAACAAACCAAACCAAGGGCTAACCCAACTAAGCCAAAACAGCTAGAGGGAGAGATTCCCACATTGGGCCTCAGTGAAACTGGTGGGCACATTTTGTGGAAATTGCTGTGTTCTTACTAGGGTCATGCACTGATTTGGGGGTGTGGCATGGGAAAGGGCTGTAGCCAGGGTTTTTCAGATTGCTTCCCATGCTCCTCTCTTGTCTAATGGGGTTCTCTATCTCTAAATAGAAGACTGGGAGAGAGACAGAGGTGTCCTGAGGACAAGACAGCCTTGTCCCCCTCCTTTGACCCAGGCCCTCCACAGACAGTCCCTAGGATGCAAGGGGAGACCTGCTGTTGATGCTGTGCCAAAGGAGGTGGGCCCCTTCTACCTTCCTGCACAATTTAGCCAATAACACTAAGGAGCTCATTCAAGCTCACCAGCCTGACCCAGCTGTGTCCTGGCTCTCAATGGGGCAGAAACGGCCAGTTAGGTGGACTGGTAGCATGACCAGAATGAGAAACAGGCAGGGTCTGGTGACTTCTTCTGGTGGAAACTACTTCCCCAAAGGATGGGGAAATTGGGCAGGGAAATCTGGTTCCCATTCTAGAAATCCAGATTAAGCATCTGGAAGAGTTTGTGATTGCTCCAGCCAGCAAGCAAGCATGTCAGCTTCCTTCCCAAAAGAGGGGAAAGAGAAGATGTTGGTTTGGCAAAACAAAAGCAGAATAGAAAGCTTGCAGATGGTCCAAAGACTAGCAGAGAGTTGACCAGCACTGAAGTCACCCCAGAAAGCCCTACTGCTGCTCCAGGGGGACCTGGTAGGGCCTTCAAAGCATTCTGGTTCCGACATTTGCCATCGGCCACCCCCTTCCTACCACAGAGATCCCTGATCACAGCTCTTGTCTCCATGTGATATGCTCATTTGCTACAAGGTCTGTCTGTTTGCTGGTCTCCAGACCTCAAGTTCTAGTCAGTGAATGCCATGAATGAGAGACTGGCCCCAAATCAACAAGGGGAACTGGTCATCTTCATCTCTTCTGCCTGCTGGGCTTGGTTTTCAGGGCTCTTCTTCAGCTCCACCCCACACCACCAACGTCCGAGTCACCATCCTTCTCACCTGGGCTTCCTTACTGGTCTCCCAGATCCACCCATACCACGCATGTAGCTGGACCTAACTACATATATTATACAGCAGCCCAAAATGGCCACTCCTCTCCATGGAAACATCTAGTAACTCCCAAAATAAATTCAAGCCCTTACCCTGTATTAAAGGGCCTGGCCAACTTCCTGTCTCTTCTGTTCACTGCTTTCTACCCACTCTGGCCCTGGGTCTCATTCTTCAGTGTACCATGCCCATCCCTGCCTCTGGGCCTTTGCACTGGCCATACCCACAGTCTTCAGCATTCATTCCACAACTTCTATGCCCTAAACTTGAATTTTACCTCTTCAAGAGTACCCCTTCCTAACACTCCCACTTGTTCCTGCTCAGATTGGACCATGTGCTGTCCAGTACGGTTGCCACGAGCCCTGTACGGCTGTTGAGCCCTTGGAATGGAGTTGGTCAAGACTGAGTGAGACCCAGAGAGGTGTAAAATACACGCGGGATTTCAAAAGCTTAATACTATAAAACATGTAAATTATCTCCTTTTAAAAAATTAGACATACTGATTCCACGCTGCAATATCGAATATTTTAGATCTATGTGGGTGACATAAAGTGTGTGATTAGTATTAATATCACCTGTCTCTTTTCAATTTGCTTAATGCCGATGTGGTGCAGGAAATGTACGATCACACACCCGCTGAAGTTGTAGACGTATTTATATGGACAGCACTTTCGGGCCTGTCCAGCATCTCTATATAAACTATTATCTGTTCACTTGTTTTTTTTCCCCCATTGCAGTTCCCTCCCCACCCCACGCCCCAGCGGGCAAATGAGACGTTTCCACAGGGGCGGTTCCCAGGTCACCCAGAAGCAGCAGCAAAGAGGCTGGGCAGGATGTGAGAAGGCATCCCAGCAGAGGTCATACAGGGCAGCAGGGACTTGGGGTCCGGCCCCACCTACCTTGCTCCGGATCTGGTAGATGACGGAGACGAGCAGCAGCGCGCAGCCCAGCGCCAGCAACACGTACTGAGCGTAGTGCAGCACCATGGGCAGCAACACCAGCTGCATGTAGAAGGTGTGCAGAGTCTCGCCCTCCATTGCTCCACTCTGGGGAGGTGGAATGGCCGACCGGTGGGCTGGGGCCACGGGCTGGGGGCCACCCCCACCACCGCCCTCGGCCCCATCTGAAGTGCACCGCAAAAGCAAGTGATGAAGCCGGTGCGAGCCTCCGTTTCTGCAGGACACGCTGAGAGACTACATTTCCCAGGTGCCTTTGCCATTGGGCAGGGCCACATGATCGAGCTCTGACCAATGGGATATAGGCAGAGATGTGTCGGCCCTCCAAGCCTAGCCCATCAAAACCTCCGTAAGAATAGAGAGCGGAGATTATAGAAGGACCTATTAGGCCCCGGACAAGGCTTCTCTAAAAGACTGTGATGCCGAGATCTGCCTCCCCACCACAGTACACTGCGATACCATTCAATTCAAGTTAAGGGGAGGCTGACCACTAGCTCATCCCAACGTAAAATGACTAGGCCAAGAGGCTACCTGAAGAGGTGGTGATGATGAAAATGCAAGTGAAAAACGGACACCCTGAAAAGCAGCTCTTCTTTCTCCACCCTGGGCCTTTTCCTACAGCTCCTGTCTGTCCCAAACCCTGTGATCCTTTCAACTCAGTGCGACAGTTGGCACAGTGCTAGGGCAGTGAGGACGGTTTCTAACATATTTTTCCATGTCTGTCCCCCACTGGCTCCTCCACAGGTACTGGACACCTATCCAGAGGTACCTGGAGAAGGGAAGGGGCCCACCTTACCTCTTCAAACCACAGCAAGGGCAGGACCACAGGTTTGATGTTCCCCGTTTGTCTGGAAAGAAAGAGACAGTACAGGCTGCGAGTGAGAAGTTATGCCACCATATTCTCCTTCAAACATCCGTGAGCATGGAGTCATAGGTCTAGGAGCAAGTAAGATTTAATTCTGCAACTGCTTGATATGTGAGAGGTAAGTGGGGTAAGCGCTGGGCTGCTCACTGAAAGGTCATCACTTGGAACCCCCCAGCCACTCTGTGGGACAAAGATGAGGCAGCCTGTTTCTGTAAAGAGTCACAGTCTCAGAAACCCTACAGCAATTCTGTCGGACGGGGCTGCTGTGAGGTGGAATCGCCAGGGCAGCTGTGGGTTTTACCTCGGAATTTGAGGAGTGATGGCTTCCTGAGACTGGCATGTGTATGCCCTGCTGGTAGCTGTCACCCAGAGTGGGCCAGCATCTTTTTACGTGGAGCACACGTTTTCTGTGTGGCAGGGACTGGTGGCCCACTTTCATCCATTCTTCTGCTGGAGGAACAGAGCCCCCACACAATGCTACATATCCATGCAGTCAGCCAAAAGACCAGCTCTCAGCCACCCTGAGCAAGAAGTGGGGTGAGGCAAGACTGCGATCAAGCTCTGCTTAGTGAGGTGCTCTGGGGGGCATGTGGGAAGGCTGCTTAAACGGAATCTGGCACATACGGATGGACACATAGATAGTCACTGAAGCTGACAGAGATGGAAAGGAGAATGGGACGACACCCACGCATTTGTATCGGTTTAACAGAGGACTTTTCTACAGATGCATTTACCTATGGTGCTAATACAAAGGGGCTTCAAAAAGTTCATGGAAAACTGAATTATAAGATCATGACATGGTTCCTATGAGCTTTCTGAAGCCCCCTCATATGTCCATGAATACAGTAGAGCATATGGAAGCAAAGTGATGAAAACATAGCCCTAACCAAACACCTTGAGGGGATGTGTCACTGCACCTAGAGGCTCAAGACCATAGTTCCATGGGGCACCAAGGTCAACTGGCATGATACAGTCCACAGTGACAATGTTCTACATCCGACTTTGGTGAGTAGTGACTAGGGTTTTCAGAGATCATGAGTGGCCTCCTAATGTATAATTACTGGTCTCTCCCTGTCCGAAGGAAAGAAGAGTGGTAGAAATCAGAGGCGCCAGCCAAAAAGTGGTCCATGTAACCAAGGACCAGCAGCCCTCAGCCTCCACTCGCCTGAGACGGGAAGAATGAGATGGTACCCACTCTGAAAAGGATCACAATACGAGGTCCTGGGAAGGATGAGAGACAAATGTGCAACAAAACTCAGAAATCAAAAGATCCAAGGTTACTGGTCAGACGGAGAAAGTCCCGAGAGTATGGCCCTCCGTTACCCTTCAAGCCTGGAACTGAACTCACTCCATGGCTTCACTTTCAGCCAAACAGGAGACAGTCCTATAAGGTAAACAGTCACACAAGGGAGGTACACTCTCCTTACAACAATCAACCACAAGAGACCGAGAGGATAGCGTTCGCCAGGGGATAAGGCTCAGAAGGTAGGAAGACACAGGAAAGGAGGGTGAAGAGAAACAGTCAAGTACTGGGAAGAGGTGGGAGGGGGTGCAGGTACATTGTGGGGATGGCAACCAATGTCACAAAACACAATGTGCATGTTGAATGGAAAACCAACGTGCTCTGTTACCTTTCACCTAAATCACCATGAACACAAAACAACACCATGAGCAGGCACATGGAGGTGAGGCCATCATTCTTGGATCTACATAAAAGTTGGGTCAGCTGCATGATGGGAATCAGAAGTCACTGAGAAGCCAAATCACACTGTCACACTTTTCCCAAAGATCCCTCAGGCAGCCTCGAGGTGAGAGTAGAGTGAGGGAAACGAGGTCCCAGTATCACCTACAGATGATACCGGCTCAGAAACACCATGACCGTACTATTTGAACCTGGGTGTTTTTCCTCTGAAAGAGTTTATAGGGATTGATGTAAATTGCATGCAAGCATCATGCCAGCTCCCACTATCTTTGTCTTGACAGCAAACAGCACAGGAGTTCTTCAGAGGACTACCGTTTGATAGTTTCTGCTTCCAATCACTGTACCTCTACCTTCTCCCCCTCCATCATTGCCTGTCCTCGAGCCTGGCCCCAGGAATGGCAACCCACACCTCATCTGTTCTGACCGCCAGGCTATGGGTCTAAATAGATGAGGACCCAGAGGCCCACAGAGAATGGGACATCGGGTCCACATACAGGCTGAAGCAGCCACCTGTGTGAACTGCTGGCTTGTCCAAAATTTGAATTAATGAGTTTATGTTAATAAGGCCAGAACAACTTGGAAAAGGAGATTACAGGACTCCAAGAATGTCATCAACATCACTGAACGGTACTTGGAGAAAGTACTGAATTGGTGCACAATTTGCTGCATATATTCTCAACAACAACAAAATCAGTGAAAATTTTAAATTTTCAATAATTTCCTCTGAGGCAAACATGGAAAAACTCAAGATGGCACCCAGAGTCCCCGTTCCTTTTGACAAATGCAGGGTTCACAGTGATTCAGGCTGCTATATTCCCATGTGGCTAGAGTCAGCAAGTGCTAAGAAGGGATGGCGCCCTTGGTGGAATCCCCTCTCCTGGCTCCCTCTCCTAGGTACCTTCCTGGCCTGAGTGGCATCCGAGCTGGCAGGGCAGGTGCCAAGTGACCACATATACCAAAGTCAGAACCTGGGAGGCAAACCCCGAGTTCCTCATTGCCCTTTCGCCGCCCACTGTTCCCTGGGGCAGCCTCACCTACAGAACAAAAGGCGTGGGTGAGAGGCAGAGACTTTTGACAAAGCCGTATTCCTGCCAGCTAAAAGGCGTTTTACAAAGCTGTGTAGACACTGCTAGAGGCCAGACATCTTTCTAGGGAAAGTTTTTTGCTTGTTTTCGTGGATTAATTTCAAATAAGCTAACAAGTACATATTAAGAGTCCTGGCATGGTGTTGTATACTAAGCATTAAACTGCTAACCACAAAGTCAACAGTTCAAACCCACCAGTTGCTCCTTGGAAATCCTATACAGGGTTGCTATGAATCAGAACCAACTTGATTGTACTTAACAACAAAATAAATTCACGGACTGCCAGAAGAATTAACAAATCTATCTTAGAAGTACAGCCAGAATGCTCCTTAGAAGTCAGGGTGGTGAGGGTTGGTCCCATGTACTTAGGATGTGCCATCAGGAGAGGCATCATGTGCCCTGGAGAAGACATCATGCTTGATGGAGTGGAGGGTCCATAAAAGAGAGGAAGACCCTCAACAAGATGGACTAAGACAGTGGCTGCAACAATGAGCTACAATATAGGAACAAGGGCGACGCAGGATGGCGCAGGACCAGGCAGTGTTTCGTTCTGTTGTACGTAGCGTCTCTATGGGTCAGAATCGTCTCAACAGCATCTCACAACAAGGATGGACGCTGAACTAACAAAGCTGTCTGCCTCTACCTGCTCTCCTGGAACATGACGTTATAACAAGGACTGGGGAGGATGCAGAGACACTGGTGGGAATGTGAAATAGTGCACCCACTGTGGAAAACAGTCTGAAAGTTCCTAAAACAGTTAAACATGGAGTTACCACATGGCCAAGCAATGCCACTTCTAGGTTTACACCCCAGAGAAATGAAGCAGGTGTTCAAACAAAATTGTGTCTATGAATGTTCATTGCATCACTAGTGACAACAGCCCAGATGGAGACCTAATCCCAGTGACCCTCAGCTGGGGGGCAGACAGACAATGTGGTCCATCCAGACTGGCATCGGACTCAGCTCTGAACAGGAATGAAGGCTCCACGTTACAAAGTGATGAACCTTGACAACAGATGAAAGGCGCCAATTACGAAAGTTCCTACAATAAACGGAAATGACCAGACCAGGCAAATCCATAGAGACAGGAAGTAGATTAGTGGTTACCAGGGGCTAGGGAAACAGGAATGCAGAGTATTATGGATTGAACTGTTGTTCCTGTTAAGTGCCATCAAGTTGATTCTGACTTATAGGGACCTTATACACAGCAGAACAAAGCACTGTGTGGTCCTACGTCATCCTCACAGTCTTTGTTAAGCTTGAGCCCACTGCTGCTGCCACTGTGCCGGTCAGTCTCTCTGGGGGTCTCCCTCTTTTTCATTGACCTTCCACTTTACCAAGCATGATGTCCTTCTCCAGGAACTGGCCCATCCTAACAATATGTCAGGATGTACGAGAGACAAAGTCTCACCATCCTGACGTCTAAGCGGATTTCTGGTTGTACTTCCCCCAACAAAAATTTGTTTGTTCTTCTAGAAGTCCATGGTACTTTTAATATGATTCTCCAGCACCATAACTCAAATGCATCTATTCTTCTATGGTCCAACTTTCACATGTATATGAGGCATGTGAATTGTGCCCAAAATACATATCAACGTGTCTTGGTCATGATTCTCAGTAAGTAATTACCCTCCATTGGGTGATCTGATGCAATTATCCTATGTGTTGCACAGCCTACCTTCTATGATGGAAACGAGGCGATGTTGTATCTTAAGCCAATCTTTTTTAAGATATAAAACAGGTTAAACAAGTGAGCAGAAATGAAGGAACATGTATACTACCAAGAAAGAAGACCTAGGACTGGAACATGCCCTTTGACTCGGAGACCCTGAGCTGAGAACCTCCTAGACCCAGAGACGACTGATACCAAGGCACATGAGGAGCTCCAAGGATACCAAGACCACAAATGTTGAAAAGAAACAGGGAGCGTCCGTCTAAGCCAACAGAGAGAGCAGGTATTCTCTTGAAGCTGTTGTTGTTGTTGTTGTTGAGTGCCCGTCGAGTCGGTTCCGACCCATAGCATCTCTTGAAGCCAGCACTCTGAATTTAAACTTCTACGTTCCTAGACTGTGAAAGAGTAAACTGTTTGTTAAAACCACCCTCTTGTGGTGCTTCTGTGTTAGCAGACAGGAACGACTGTTGATGGGTACCATGTTTCTGTCGGGGTGATTACACGTGTTCTGGACCTAGTTGGTGGTAATGGTGATACACAGCCAGTGTACTGTGAGTTTTATGGAATGAGAGTCATAGCTCAATTAAGCTTTTTCAAAAAATTGTGAATGGAGTGAAGGTTTACAGACAAGATCATCAGTTTTATAGTCAACGAATCATATGCTTTGTTTCAAGGAACCTTTCTTAAAAAAATGTTTTAATCACTGCTTTAAAAATTCCCCTTGTTAAGAGTCACAGTCAAGGATACTTTCTGGGAAGTTTCTACTTTCAAATGCTTGATTTTGCCAGATTTCTTTTTTTTCTCTTTTTTGCCATTCTGCTAAATAAAGAACAGCTTAACTTGAAGATTTTGGCTCATTTTAGGGGGAAAATATTAAGACAGAAAAGGGAGTTCTGGGTAGGGCTCTGAGCTAAGACGCCCCCTGGGGCCTGGGTTTACATTCACCTGCCAGTGTCCCCATGCCACACCCTTGTTTCTGGGGGGGTCACAAGAAGTCCTGAGCCCCTGAACCCTAAATGAGGTGCCACTCACCCGATGCCCTGGACCGCCTTGGTGTAGAGGCTCAGCTGCAGCTTCACGGAGCAGTTCATGGGGAGCCCCGTCACCTGCAGTAATAGACTTAGTGAGGGGACTGGCCTCGGGCAGCTCCCTGTGCCTGGACTGTGCAAACAGCGTGGCTGATGTTGGACCCCTGCTCTCCTTGGGGAGTTGAGAATTTAGGTTTGTGCCCAGCAGAGGTGGACCTACAACAGCAGCTCAAGAACTGCCCAGAAAGTCTCTAACATGCCTCCCTGGTAGACAATACTGCAAATGTCTCATCTCCCCTGGTGCTGTGGCAGTTAAGCATATCCCATGGGACTACATGGACAGAGGACCCTAGAATCTGGCACCCAGTGTCCCCTGAACTTCGTCCCATGCACCTTTTCCCTTGGCTGACTCTGCTCTGAGTCTTTTCTCTAATTAATTAAAGCCATGAGAGTGAACACACGGAATCCTGGGAACCCTCCTGGTAATTAACCACACACGGGGATGCCCTCAGGGGAGCCCCCTCCTCTCCAGAGAAACATTCCCTGATGCCCAGCTCCAGTAGGATGACTTCCTTCCCCAAGAAGTTAGCTTCAGTCACTCCCTGGCTCTCCTCCCACTGTCCTCCCGCTGTCTTAGTGGACACAGCCCCGCCCTTCCACAGCCTCAGGAAACAGAAATGGCTTCTCCTGTCACCCGCCCTAGTTTCAGGTGCAGAAAAAACAGCCACCCAGATGCTGCTGCCAGTAGGCATCCCATTCTCAGGGGCTAATGCCCACCAAGCAGCCAGTCCAAGCACCCAAAAAAGGAAAAGCCACTTCTGCCCTCGCCTGCCTTGAAGCAGCCCAGTGGGGCAGCTGCTAAACAGCTGTGTCCGTCTTGCCTCTCCATGACTCGCAGACCAGAGGCGGCAAGTCACGCTAAAGAGCAGGGATGAGAGTGTGTTCCTGCTGGAATTCTCCAGAAGCCAGCAGAGAAAGAGAGGCTGTAAAATAAGTGAACTCTTAAGGAGCTCTGGTAGCTTAGTGGTTACGAATTGGGCTGCAAACCTCAAGGTCAGCAGTTCAAAACTTCCAGCTGCTCCGCGGGAGAAAGATGAGGATTTCTGCTCCCATAAAGATTTATAGCCTCGGAAACCCAGTTCAGGGTCGCTGTGGGTCGGAACTGCACATAACAACAAGGACAGAAGGTGGAGTGCTGGTGGTCAGGGCAGGAGGGGTGGGGGGTCTGGTTAGTGCTGAGAAAATCTGGGAAGACAAAGAAAACTGGCAGGCTCTGAAACAGGCCTGCGAGCAGAACCAAAGAGTCCACTTAGGAAGCGGAAACCCCTGTGATAACTAAGGTTTTTGGGACAAGGTGACTGGGCTGGGATTCTCAGAGGCATGGCAGCTAAGACCTATTCATCTCTTGTGATGAGGGCTGTAGGCAGTCAGTTGAAAGGAAGTTTCCTCAGGGGTCTGGTCTGCTGCCAGTATGTTGGACACTTGAGCATTGCTGGGTCTAGATTCTGCATCTGGCTTATCATCTAGTTCTTTGGACTTGAGACACTGGCCTGCCCTATTGTCTGCGGGTCCTGGGCGCCATCAGCGGTCTACCGTCTGACCTGCCCGACCTCCCTGCCTGCCGTCGGTCCTGCAATGCTAGTTCATCAGCCCTGCAGCGACATGCATCAGAAGCCTCAGCCTGACATCTGACCCCCTCTACAACTGGGTGAGCCGCTTCCCAAATGTAAACTTCCCTCTACAGATATAAGCTTTACTCCGTTTCCGTCTCTGGAGAAGCCAAGCTAAGTCACCCATGGCCTCTCTGATCTCTGACAGAACCCATGCAGTCAGACTGGCCATGTTTTACAGACAGGGAACTTAAGTGCAGAGGGAGGAGAGGACTGGCCATAGCCACGTCCAAGGAGTAGATCACACATACAGGTCTAACCCTCCCAGTCCCTGTGTGGATATAGAACTTCACACAGAACCAGATTGAGCTACAAGACTCACCAGGCATTATCTCTAGAGAAAGATCTTTCTGGTATTTTGACACAGCCAGAAGACCGCCCCTGGCTAATTTGCAGGAGACAGGCTGATAATTCCTAATTGATTTATTGCCTTATGACCCTTTTATAGAACTCATCCCTTATAAAGAGATAATAAAATCCTTGAACTATGGAATCAGGGTAAGTAGGGACCTTTGATGTTTCTGTGTTCTAGAAGCTACAAGGTCAAAGAAAGCCAAGCTGTCTACCACTCAGCTCTGTGCCAGGGGAAAAGAGGGTTTAGGGCAGGACCAGCAGAAATGCCCCTACATTGCACTGGCCCTAGACGCCCTCAGGCCCGTCACCTGCACCAGCTGCCTACTGGGCCCAGCCACCCACCAGCAGGCCAGCACTCACCGGATGGATATCCAGGAACAAGGCATTCTCTTGTCTGTTGGGTTGGAGGCCAAGCACCGCCTCAGCCAAGACCGGGTCTGCATTGTAGAAATGAGGATGGGAGAGAAAGAGGGGAGCACCTGGAAGCAGAGGAGAAGGAGGGGGGTGTCAGACCAGGAGAGGGGCAATGGTGTAAACAGACCCTGAAACACCAGCACCCAAGTGGGCACACTCCTTCATTCATTCCGTCAATCTCCACCCATACAGGTGCCAGCCCTGTGCCACAGGAACAGTGAGGTGGGAGCCAGCAGTTCAGGGCTCAGGCCAAGAAGGAAGACTCAAAACGATGCCAGGCAGAGGTGGTTGGGGGTGACGTTCCAGGGAAGGGATGAAAGGTGGGAAGAGCTAGATGCAGGTGGAGTGGAAGAGACATGAGGAAATGATGCATGGGGTGAGGAAGGATGGGTATGAGCAGGGGTGAGGAAGGAAAGGTGGGTAAGAGCAGGGGTGAGGCAGGGCAGGTAAGAGCAGGGAGGGCATCTTGTGCACCATGCCCAGTAGCCAACAACACAACAGAAACAGGGGATGCTCAGGTGCGTGCGGGACGAGAGAACACACCTGCCTGGCTCTTTCTTGCCCAGCGGTGGGCCTGCAGGATGAACGTGACCCTGTGAGTGAGCAATCTATGTGCAGAAAAGTGAGGATAAACCAGCTCCAGTAAACAGCTAAACTAGACAACGCCACCAAGAACACAGGCCGGACAAGCAATGAGTAAGCCAGGAAAATAAAAGTCTGCCTCCAAAACCTCCTGAGGCCCCAGAGTAGACAAGTCCATGAAGACAGAATGAGCACTGAAGGTTGTAGGGGCTGGGGTGCAGGAGTGACTGCTAATCATTTGGGGTCTCCTTTTGAGTTTATGAGAATGTTCTGGAACTAGACAGAGGCAGTAATTACACAGCCTTGGGAATGCACTAAATGCCACTGGACTGTTGGTTTGAAAACGGTGAATTTCAGCTCATTAAAGAAAAAGAACTACTACCCTGAAATACTCTTTAAACCTTGAGTAGAAATCAGCCCCTGCAGTCACTGTAGCCAAATCAGTGGCTCACAAATTTAGGACTATTGCTCCTTTAAAAAACCAGCTATGAAAAAAAAAAAACCAGCTATGAAACCAAACTGTCAATAATGGCTTTAAAACAAAGATGAGGTTGTAAAGGGGGAAGGGAAACTAGATTTATGCAAATGGAACCACCAGCAGGGAAATCATGACAACGTTCACACATTGTGAAGAATGTAGCCAACGTCACTGACCAACAACCAGTGCAGAAATTGCTGAATGGTAAACTAACCTTCACCAAAAAACAAAACAAAACAAAAAAAAGATAAACACACTATTTTTGAAAAAGAAAGAAATGAGCAAAAGTGTCAAAAGGTCCTCTTCCCTTCAACCACCTCTTTGCTGCCAGTCAAGAGACACGCATCATGAAGATGGGCATCTGACAGCCACAGGGTCTGGATTGTGTTTCTGCTTCTTTTGAGCAGAGCCAAACAGAAGGTGGGATTTACTTGACATCTGACTTTGTTTCCCTCAGCATGCTTTTACACACATTACCTTAACATTTCTCAAATATCATTAGCTTCCTCTTCAACGGCCGTATGTGGGCACCTCACTGCATTATTATATAACATGCTTGTTTAAATGGACTCCCATTACTTTCCTCCAATAACTATGTTAATAGGGAACTGGCATGCCTGAGTGGTGCACAATTGCTAACCAAAAGGCTGGTGGTTTGAGTCCACCAAGAGGCACTTCAGAAAAAAACTGGTAGTCTGTTTTTGAAAGACCAGCTGTGGAAAGCCCTATGGAGCATAGTTCTCCTCCAATGCACACGGGTCCCCATGGGGTGGAGTCTATTCAACAGCACTGGCTGGTTGGTTCCATCACTGCCACCAACGCAAACACTGTGACAGTTAGAAAGTAACTATGCAGGTAAAACACAAGGGAAACCAATGATTGTTATAAATTCTAAACTCATACTGTTACCACATGCTAGCCTAAGGTTTGGCCCTGAAACCTGCTCCTGCTAAAAAATAAAAGAAAGAGAGAGAGAGAGAAAGCTTGACACATGTTGGGAAGGTGTTCTGGTCCTTGTAGTACCAACAGAGAACATCTCCTGGAGAAGATGTGGATTGAAAGACACCAGAAAGGACACCTCTCCTACTGTGGAAGGCTGTGTAAAGATTTAGAGTCACATCTTTGGTCCCTTTGAGGTCACCCTGAGTAACTCCTGTGAGCAACATCCCACTTTCTAGAAAACCCCATGTCCCACATCCATCGTGAAAGGACAGGAACAGGACAAACATGAGGACGCCATTTTTATAGGTGACAGGACAATAGGGACACTCTGGAATGGAGGCGTCCCCCAAGGCAGGTTCTTGAAGGTGAAGAATCTCAAACAAACCCTACTGCACCTCTAACCCCTGGAGGCGACGCGCTGCAATGGGCTGGACAGATGCACCAACACCTGCCTTGCTTCCGCCGGTAAGCCAGTTTGGTGGTTCTTAGTAGCACACATGTATTTGGAGCTGCGTTCTTCTTTCTATTTTATTTTCAAACAGGCTGAGCAAGACCAGCCGGGGCAATAAGTGGTAATTAATTTATAGCTTTATGGCACATCTAACTAGAGATAATTGCTAACGATCACCACAGATAATTACCAATTAAGAGGCTCTGTTGTCAAGTCTGAGTACACTCCGGTCTGAGGGATTTTCAAGGCCCAGAAAGGGAAAAGCTGTGGGTATTTCTTCACTTTAGATAAAATGCCACAGATGCAAGTGCAGCAAAAGATATGGAAAGAATGTTCCGACGTCCTGGCAGTTCCAGCCCTAGGGACAGAGAGAGTAGAAGACCGAGTGCAGGGATTCCCACAGATGCACCAATGCTCAGGGCAGCATGATTCACAAGAGAAGGCACAGAGGGGCTGAGGAACGGATACTCAAAATGAGGTCCGTCCACACAGTGGAGTGGAACTCAGCCATGAAGAGAAAGGCCGATGGCGGCATAGCGGTGAAGTGCTCGGTTGCTAAAGGAAAGGTTGGTGGTTTAAAGCCACCAGCCCCTCCATAGGAGAAGGACAAAGCTGTCCATTCTGGAGAGCTTACGGCCTTGGAAACCCTTCAAGGCTGCTCTACTCTTCCCTACAGGCCTGCTGTGAGTCCGAATTGATGGGAAGGCAGCGGATCTGTAGAGAAATAAGTCCTGTTACAAGCTACAACGTAGAAGAATCTTGAAAACATGAAGTTGAGTAAAACAAGGGGCCACAAAGAGACAAGACTGTCTGATCCCACTTCTATGAAATACCTAAAGAGACCAATGCACAGATGCCAAAGCTGAGGAGTGGTTATCAGGTGGAGAGGGGGAAGGGGGCAGGGAGACTATTCCCTGGAACCTAAGGATAATGGTCCAAAACCAGAATGAGATACCCCTAGTAGGAGTGAGCAAGTGGACTCACATCCACAGAATGAAGAGAACAAACCACAAATGCCCCCAGCACCACCATTAATCTCACAAACAGTACGTATAAGAAGCCAGGAAAAAGAAAGGGTCGCATATCCTATGATTCCATTCATATAAACACCCATTCAAGGCAGCCCAATCAGAGCGAGTCTTGGGACTTTAGAGAGCGAAGCGGATGGAGGTGGTCCCTTTTTGCTGGTCTCAGAGTGTAGGACCTGAGCTGCTAAGGGAGAGATCGCCTGGCAACAAAGTCAGGCCTGAGGAAAGCAGGCTGGGATATGGAGAAACTTGCGTACAATGTCTGAGTTTCTGGATCCCAGCCTCATAAACACAGATCTAGTGTGTACTTTTTAATTACATACACAAATCACAAAGGGCTCTTTGCAGGCCTAAATCGAGTTGAGTGTGGCGTCTGTCACTTGTCACAACATGACTCTAACACATGTCTACTGGGTCTCTGCATTGGGCAACCTCATTACAAGCAAACTTCCTCTAGGTCCTAGGGAAGGAATATGAAATGATAGAGACAACACCGATGGGCTAGACCAGGCCCGTCTACAAAGCCCTCTGCCACACAGAACACACTATTCCATCTGTTAATGTCCTTCTCCCAAACTCCGTCCTCCAGGGTCCACCATCTGCAGCTCCAAGATTTGGTATCAACAAAGGCAACTTCCAAAAAGCAAGAGAGAGCAGAGCCCCTCGGTGGAAATCCACAAGAAGACTGGCTCCTTGTCCCATCAACGTGTCACCTCATCATAGCCCAGCCGGGGACGGGGGGCAGCCTCAGTTTCTAAATACAGAACCCTCTCACACATCCATGTCTTCAGATATGATGGATCTAGCTCTAGAAGCTGAGGGAAAGAAGTCTTGCCTTACGGAGCTAGTCTAGCAGAGGAGGTGGACAGTGATTTCAGATGGCGGTCAGTGCATCTGAGGTAGACAGGGAGCAGCTGAGGGACAAAGGGGGCAACTTTACAAGGGGAAATCAGAGAAGACTTCTTGGAGGAGGTGACAGTTGAGTTAAAACCAAAATAAAGTGAAAGGATGATCTCCACGGATCTAGATGCAGCCACTGGTGACACCTACCCCAAGGTGGGATTTCTGCGCATACAGTGGACAGAGGGAAGTTAGTTATGGGGGGGAGGTGGGGGGGGGGGGCGGTGGGAAAGAGCTCTCCCAGCAGGGGGAACTGCTAGTACAAAGGCCCTGAAGTGGGACTGAACTTGGTGTATTCTACTAACTTTACTCTTTTGAAGTCGTTAAGAACTGTGAATGGATGAAGTGTGAGATGTGATGGCATCGTATCCAGGATAAGAGGTTTGGGCTTCACTAGAAATGTGGAAGAAGCCACTAGAAATGATGAACCAAGGGTGGAGTGCTAGGCTCTAGTTCTGGAAGCTCCCTAGGCTATGTCTGAAGTGGCAATGTTCAAGAGAAGTTTCTACAATGTGAAAACAGTTCATATCCACTTTGCAGCTGCCCGTGGCTCTTTAGCACCTGAAGTGTGGCCGATGCAACCTGCACTGCAAATGTCTTCATTAAGTCCAGTCCCATTTAAGTCACCATGAGAGGCTAGAGGGGGTCACACCGGACAGTTTGGGCAGCAACAATACAATAGGAAGACCACCTGGGAGGGGACCACAAGAGTCAGGAAGGGCTTGGGGTTTATTCTGGAAGGTCAGCCTACTGAGCTTGCGGATGTCCTGGGGCAAGGGAATGAGGACAGGAGAACTGAGCTGATGCCCAAGTCTCCAAGCAGTACAGCAGCACAATTCAAGCCCACCTAGGAAACAAGAAGAAATTTTGCGGTGAAACCTATGCCTTACAGGTGGGTAAGGTCTGGCCCACTGGCCCACGAAATCATTTGGTCTGGCCCTGCCAAGGAAACCACAGTTCCAGCCACCACATTTGTTGTTGTTGTTGTGTGCCAACTAGTCAGTTCCCACTCAAAGCGACCCTGTATAGGGCTTCCAAGGAGCAGCTGGTGAGCTTGAACCACCAACTTTGCAGTTCAAATCAACTTCGTATTCCACTGCATTAACCCACAGCGCCACACCAGGACTCCTAGCAGTCACATTGTTTTTGTTGTTGTTAAGTGCCGTCGAGTTGATTCCAACCCATAGTGACCCTGTATAGGGTTTCCAAGGACCAGCTGGTGAGCTTGAACTGCCAACCTTGCAGTTCAAACGGCTTTACAGCCTGGTGCATTAACCCACATTAGGGGTGTGTTAATTAATTTGATAATTTTATATGACCTGTGAATGATGTTTTGGCCAAAAAAAGGTTCCCCACCCCTGCTCTACCCCATCCAACTGTGGACGCTCACACCACTGGTGGAGAAGATGGAGGTCTGGGACAAATGCACCATCATCCAGGCAGTCTGTCTCCAGAGGAGATAAAGACCCTCTGTCCCAAGCCTCACACTCAAGCCCTGAGTGGAAATCCCAGTGAGGGTGGCAGAAGAATAGCCTCCCAAAGTAGGCCTCGCCCTGCACTCCAGAACCTGTGCATATGTTACCTTACACGGCAAGGGGGCATTAAAGTAACCGATGGAATGCAGGTTCTAACCAGCCAGGCCCCAAACAAGGAGTGGGCCCAGGTAATCACATGAGTTTTTAGACCTGAAGGCATTCCAGAGATGGATCACCTTTCCACCACACGAAGACACGGCGGAGTGAACGGGACCACCTGGGTGGGTGGGTGGGAGGGGGACATGCTTCTCAGAACAACCAAGTCTGCCAGATGGAAAAGACCACATTTGCCCAAAATCAAAGTTGGTGGGAAGGGGCTGGAAAACTAGGCACATGGAAATGGGGAGAGTGCTGACCCACTGTAGGGACTGTGACCATTGACACATAACAATGTGTGGATGAATGGGAAATTAACATGTTCTGTAAACAGTCACCTGAAACCACAATAAAGTATTAATTACTAAAAAAAAAACAACTAGAGAGGGAGGAGGCCGGAGAAAGAGGAAGACAGAGACGTGACTACAGAAACAGAATGACTCAGTAGTGCTGACTTTGAACGTGGAGGAAGAAGCTGTTGGTTTGAGGCACCGTAAAGGAAAAGCCCAGTGACCTACCTCTGAAAGACTAGCTGTGGGAAGCCCTAGGGCACACAATTCTACTCTGATGCCCATGGGGTCCCCATGAGGTGGAGGCCACTCAACAGTAACTGGTTGGTTGGTTACACCACTGCCACCAACGCAAACACTTGTGACAATTAGAAAGTAACCATGTGAGTAATACAAGGGAAACAACGATTGTTGTAAATGCTAAACTGATCCCGTTACCGCATGCCGGCCTCAGTGTTTGGCCCCAAAATCTGCTCCTATCTGCTAAAAAAGAGAGAGAGAGAGAGAGCTTGACACGTGTTGGGAAGGTGTTCTGGTCCTTGTCGTACCAACAGAGACTTTGTCCTGGAAAAGATCTGTGTGGAAAGACACCAGAAATGACAGCTGTCCTGCTGTGAAAGGCTCTGTGGTTTAGAGGTACAGGAATTCAGGGAGGGCCTCTGGAAGGTCTGCAGAAGGCGCTCAGCCCCACCACACCTTGGTGAGATCCATGTGGGACTGTGGGGTGACACATTTGGGTTGTCTTCAGCTACTTTGTGGTGCCTTGTTGCATGCAGCATTTCTGCTCTAATTGCCTTTCTGCTGACCCTCCTTATCTCCAGCCTAATAGAATGATCAAGAGTTCAGAGGGCAGAGATACAAGTAACAGGGATGGGCAGATAAGCCCTCCCCACACCCACACTCCCAGACCTGCCCCCTGCCCCCGACCACCCCCACCACGCATGTCCTGGTGACACATACCAAATCGGCAGGTGCTGATGTTCTGGATCCCAGACTCCAGGCATGGGCAGAAGCCCTCGTTGGGTGGGTAGACAGTCCCGTTGGCAAATAAAGTGGTGGGAGCCACAAAGCGGTAGGTGGGAATGCCTTCAAACCTCCCTACCTCCTTGAAGATCAACTTCATAGATCTGAGGGGAGAGGGCGCAGACAAAGGGAAAGGTGACCCCCAGAACCAGGTGGCGTGCATCTTGTTCATCCGCCACCTTGCCACCTGCCTGGTCACCCACCGACACCTCTTTCCCCTGTCCCCCTGCCTCAGCTCTGTCCTTCACCCCCTTCCCTTCCCGTCCCACCCCCAGTCCATCTGTGACACCAGCGGGGTCTTCAGAAGAAGGAGTCACCACTTCCGTTCTTAAATCTCCAGTGGTACCCAGTCAAGCTTCCCTTCAGATCCAGAGTTCTCCAGCTTTCTTGGTAATATGTCCCACGTGGTCTAGTCCCTGACTATCCTCTGCTTGCCCCTTCTCCCACTTTTCTGCACCACATAGGCCTTTTTGCTGTTCCTCAAAACTTGCTTATCCATGCGTCAGGGCCTCTGGCTGGAATGTTCTTCCCAGAATCCTCCCTCTTTAGATTTTGCATATTCATTAGGGTCTCAGTCCACTTGATGCCTGCTCAGGTACCCCCACCTCTGGCACTCAACTACTCTGCAGCTGCACTTTCTCAAATGCACTCCCCAGTTTGAATGTGACCTGACCAGAGTCCAAACTGAGGAGGATGGGCCCTAAGGGTAATGACCCCTGAAACCAGCTGCCACTGAGTGAACACTGAACCATGGTGACCCCATTGGCTCAGAGCAGAACTGAGCTCCACTGGGTTTCAGTGGCTGATTTTTCCAGAAGGAAATCACCAGACCTTTCTTCTGGTGAGGCTTTGGCTGGACTCAGACTGTCAACACTTCAGTTACTTCAGTAAGCAGTGAGCACATTAACTGTTCGCACTGTCAGGGATTGTGTATGTGTAAAAGACACCCCAAATTTCTAAGACTTAACATAGAAAAAGAATGCAAATTATCTCTTTGATAATGTTTGATACTGATTACATGTTGAAAGATGACTGCTTTGGATATGTTAATTACCACTGAGTTGGTTCTGACTCATAATGACCCTCTCTAGGGTTTCTGAGACTGCAAATCTTTTCGAGAGCAGAAAGCCTCATCTTTCTCCTTGCTTTGGACTAGGTCCAAAATAAAATATATACTCGGTCAAATAAAATATATTATTAAAATGAATTCGATCTGTTTTCTTTAAACATTTTTTTTTTTTTTTTTCTTTTCAATGTGTCCACTAGACAATCTGGAGTCGTGGTGTGGCACTGCAGGATAATGCACTGGACCATAAGGACAGTTTGAACCACAAGGTCAGTGGTTCAAACCCACCAGCTGCTCCTTGAAAACCCTTAAAGGGTCACCATGGGTGGGACCAACTCTATGGCACTTAACAACAACAACAATTAGACAATTTTGAATTACACATGTAACTGGTACTGTATTTGCCTCAGACAGCACCCAATGAGACAATAATGTTACATCAACATTAAATTCCTGATGTCAGTAATGATAATGTGATTATGCTGAGTCTTTCCTTGTGTTTGGAAAACACATGCCCATGTACACAGGTAGGAAGAGGCACTGTGTCTCCAATTTACTCTCAAAGGGTTCAAGAAAAAGATATGCAGAGAGTGAGACCCAGAGCAAACTAAAACCTCTGCTGTTACGTTGATCCAAACTCACAATGAGCCTAGGGGATAGAACACAAATGCTCAGTAGTATTTCCAAGACTGTAGTGTTTAAGAAGTGTTCCTGATGTTGCACTGTACGGTAAGTTCTGGATTGCTAACCTCAGGTCAGCAGTTCAAACCTTCCAGCCACTTCTTGAAAACTCTATACAGGGTCACTATGAATCAGCACTGACTCCATGGCACTTAACCACAACCACCACAATCTTTTGGAAGCAGACTGACTCATCTTTCTTCAGTAAAGTGACCACTCGGTTCCAAACATTGACCTTTTCGTTAGCAGCCCAATGCTTTACCCAGTGCCCCACCAGGGCTCCTTACACAGAGTCAGAGGTGGGTACTGAGGAAGCAGAGGGGCAAACAGAAACAGTCGGTGGCTCTGGGTAAAGAGCATAGGCAAGCTACTTGCACTTTTCACACAACTTTTCTCTAAAATTACAGTTAAAAAAACCAAACACACAGAGAAGAGAAGCACTTCTCGTTCTTAACACTCTTGTTTATGTCTTTGCTGACTCAGGACATCAGCTGTCAGAAAACAGACCCTTTGCCAGTTTTCTCCTTGCCATGTCCCCAGCAAAGAGAACAAACTAGGTTTGTTGAGGGAAGGCAAGTAAGCCAGGGTCATGTTAGTTAATTCCCAAGAAAGGGACCAGAATGGGACACAGCAGCCCCCGGAGAAGTGATCTAGGAGCCCTCTCTGATCCTGGTCCACAAGCTGGGACCACAGGGGTTGTTTACCCCCAAGCACAACTGTTAACCCTTCAAGGCTTGAGAGCTGGAGCTTGAGGAGCTGCAGGTTGGTGAATGGGAAAACTCAGACTCCTTAATGATAGTCAGGGCCCCTCGAAGCATCACTGCACAGTTCCCCTGATGCCTTGATCCTTCCCTGTTCACCACCACCACCAAACAACTGCCACAATCACCCTCTGGTGTAAAAGCCTTGTAAAAGCCTCCATGATGCAAGCAAAGAGAATTCAAGATGGCGCTAGAAGAGCTAGTGAGTCCAAAGGCTCTCCAAGTACCATGACAACGGAGCCCTGGTGGGGCAAACAATTAAGCACTCAGCTGGTGCCGTGGTTAGAAAGCCTGGCAGTTCAAACCCACTCAGCAACTCAGCAGGAGAAAGACCTGGCGATCTGCTTTCATAACGATCACCACCAAGAAAATGCTCTGGGGCATGTCTACTCTATCTCGGGAGGTTGCTATGAGTAGGTATCAACTCAATGGCCCTAACAACAATGTTTTCAGATCAAGTCCACTGCCAAGTGCCACTGAGTTGCCATTAAGTCAACGCCAACTCGAGGCCAGCCTATATGTGTCAGTAGAACCGTACTCTAGAGGGCTTCCAATGACTGGTTTTTCGGCAGTAGATCGCTAGGTCTTTCTTCCGATGTACCTCTGGGTAGAAATGAACCCCTAGTCTTAACCATTCTTGTTCATACCACCCAGGACCTCCCAATGTCATGAGCTGTCCAGGAAGCATGCTCAAGCTATACAAGAGGCCCAGAATGTTCCTGGCTTAGTGATTACCGGCAGGCTTCAGGGCTGTAGAATTCCAGTGAGGATTCAGGAGTCATGAATGGTGCCCACATTTGTCCGGAAGTTCCATTGATCATGTTGCATTGGTCGGAATGCCAGAAGTTGAGCTGGTGGAATTCAATGGGAGATGGCTAGTCAAGAGATCCTCCGCCCCTGAGCCTCTCTCTGGTTTCCCCTTCCTGATTTGATTCGGGATCCTGGACCCTGGTATGGACCTTGCCGTCTCATTCCTAACACTACTCATAATTAGAAGCCAGTGCCCTCGGGGACATGGCCTGGCAGGGCCAGACAGATGGAGGGCGTGTCCACAGTCGCTTCCCACTCCCTGTCTGACGTGGCTGGGACTCAGTGATTTCATCTGCAAAATGGGTGTATCCCCCACATCTCCAGACTGACCAGAGCAAGAGCCCAGAGGGGCAGAAGAGGTGGGAGGTAAAACGGAGATGCCTCATCCTCCACAGAGGAAGCCAACCGACACTCAGGAAAACAGATCAAGCTCAGAAATGGAGCAGAAAGCACAACATTGATAACTGTCATGTGGCCGCCAGGAAACCCCAGAACACAACTGAGGAGGGCAGTTCCTTCAGGGAGAGCCCTGGACAGGACAAAATGCACTTGTCACTTGATCCTTCTGTACTGCAGGGAGGAGCCTGGTGGCCCATCGGTACAAGTCCTCAGTTGCCAACCAAAAGGCCATTGGTTCTAACACACCAGCCACTCTGAGGGAGATGCACTGTGTGCGCCCATAAAGACTTCAAGCCTTGGAAGTCCTATGGGGGGGCAGTTCTACTCCGTCCTACTGGGTCACCAGGTGTCAGAATGCACTCGACAACAGCGGGTTGTCGCTGTTGTGTGCCCTCAACTTGTTTCTACTCAAGGTGACCCCAAGTGTTACTGAGTTGTACTGTCCCCATGGGCTTTCCAAGACTAACGGTTTATGAGAACAGACCGCTACCTCTTTCTCCTGTGGAGCAGTTGGTGGATTTGAACCACCAACCTTTCAGTCAGCAGCCGTGTGTATTAGCCTCTTCGCTAACAGTCCTCCTTCGATGGGTCTTTCAAAACCCAATGAACCTGACTTCCTTCTGACTCACAGTGACCGACTCACAGTGACCGGAAGGACAGAACAGAATGCCTCCTAGGGCTTCTAAAGCTGCCATCCATATGGAAGCTGACCTCAGAGCAACTGGAGGGTTCAAACCACCAACCTTCCAGTTTGCAGCCAAGCGCTTTAATCACTACCACCAGGGCGCCTCAAGAGTGGTCTCTAAGAATGGTGGTTTGGGCTGTAGACAGTGATCTTGCCAATCTGGTGGGTGGGGGTGGGTAGGTCTAACTGTCCTTGCCCTCAGGGTCTCTACAAGTTCTGAGCAGAAATTATCACAGCCCAGGACGGGTTGGAGCAACACTCCTGGATATTTGTCATAATATATTAACACTGTGTGCTGGGAAAGGGCCAATCACCTGGGTGAGCAACTTTCAAGATGATATGCACAACATGCTTATGTTCAAAGAGGAGGGGAAAAGTCTACCATGTTTCTGTGCACCCATAAGCAGATGAAGGTGGATAAAACACACAGGAAGAATGTACCCCGAACTGATAGGATAACAGACGGTTTCCTCTGTGGTTGGGGCAGGGGGGAGCCAGGGAGTCTGTTGTCTCTATATATATCTCCATTGTTTATTTTTCATGTGAATGCCTTCCTGTGTCTCCAGCAGGAAATTTTAAACACATTTGTATCAATTCAGAACCACAGGAAGAAAACTTGGTTCCTGACACACATGATGGGGACCTCAGGAAGCCCTTGCTATTCTACCACCCCCAACAGTTGGCATTGAGGACCCCTCCAAACCAAGAGTTCGTGGAGCTTTAAAACCAACAACAACAACAAAAGACGCAGCTGCCGTGGGGTCGATTCCAACTCATGTGCCCCCATATGTGTCCGAGTAGAGTGTGCCCCGTGGAGTTGGCTGATGTCTTCAGAAGCTGGTTGCCAGACCTCTCTTCCGTGTGCATCACCCACAGGTCAGATGCTGAACTCCGAGGGTGTTCTCCTCATGCAGAACAGGTGTCCCTACCCTCCTGGGTGTTAGGAGACGGGTAAAGCATGGAATGGCCAGCCCAGTCCAGCTCACCTTGCTAAGCCCGTTCCACTTGTCCACGAGGTGAATCTTGTCAAAGTCTTTGACGCCCGTGAACACGGTGAAGAGCCCAGAGTTGGAGTTGTTGAGCTGCAGACAATGGGACAGGTGAAGGCCTCGGGACAGAGCCCCGGGCCCAGGGCTGCCTCCCAGCCCACCTGCTCAGTTCCAGGCTGTGCCTCCCCAGGCTGGGAAGGGGCCTCACTGTCTTATACACTGCTGCACCCCAGCACGCAGGCATCAAGAGAAAGCGGAGGGCCAGGGGCTCCCTAATTCAAGGAGAGCTTGTCCGTCTCCCCAAGTATAAGGTCTGACCAACCTCCCCACACCCCAGCCCACCCCACTCCAAACTGAATCTTGGCCACAGGACTCCTAGTCCACCTTGGACCATGAGGTCATCTGGAGGGTGGAAACCGACCCCAAGCACAGCACAGCGGAACAGTGGGAACACTCTTCACTGTTGTCATTTGCCCTCAAGCCCATTTCGGCTCACAGTGACCCCGTGTGTGTCGGAGAACTGGGCTCAAGGGTTTTCTGAAGCAAATCGCAAGGCTGGCCTTTCAAGGCACCTTTGGGAGGGTTCGAACCTCCACCTTTCAGAGAGTAGCCCAGTGCTTAACCATTTGTACCACCAAAAGTCCCGCTGCTGTGGAATCGATTCTGATTCCTAGTGACTTTACAGAACGGAGAATTTCGACGACCATAGGTCTTTACAGACAGCCTCATCTATCTCCCGCGGAGCAGACGGTGGGTTTGAACTGCTATCCTTGAGACTGGCAGCCCAACGCTTAACCAACTATGGCACTGGGACTTCTTCAGAGGAGAACTCTAGGCCCCAGAAAATGTGGACCCCCCCACTAGTGTGGGCCTACTCTGGGGTTTCCAGCACACACAACTATATTACGGGACAATGTGAACAACAGCTGACAGGCTGGAAGTTTCAGTCCACCCAGAGATGCCTTGGAAGAAAGACCTGGCAATCAGCCTCCAGAAAATCAGCCACTGAAAACCCTGTGGCGCACAGTTCCACTCTGACACAAGTGGGACCACTGCGAATCAAAATTAACTCTACGATAGCTAGGCCTGTTGTTTCTCTTGAAGCTAGTGGCTTTGTAAAGTCCTTCATTTACAAATACTTCAATGCTTCCAAAGTGCTGTTATAGACTTGCACCACAATGTGCCAATTTACCCACATAGTCACAAGCTGTTATCCTGGTCAAGGTTAATTTGAATCATAATTTCCATCCCCTCCATCCCACCTTGTCTCCAACACTCAACAAGGGAGGATGGAGCAACAGAGGACTCATCGAAACCTGTGGCTGATGGAGTACAAGGAAAGGGTCAGAGTCAGGGACCAGACCAGATGCATGGGGATAGGGTCAGAGTCAGGGACCAGACCAGATGCATGGGGATAGGGAGGCTAATGAACGCCTGGGTCAATCTCGAAGCTTTGATCCCCCACTTTCAAGACGAACAGACATTAACAGTATCAACAGTGATTCCTCAGTAGGTAGGGCTTCCCCCTTCGTGTCCAGCACCTTTCAGATCTTTGGTGCCTCACTCAGAATGTGATCTGGTGCCTCGTCAGGAAGGCCCTTGGACTTGCCCCCTTTTGCTTCCCTCTCACTATGCCTCTGTGCCCACCAGACTTGATGAAAGCGTCATGTAGTACACATGCCGTACCTGCCAGAACTTAGGTTCACCTGTGCCGACATGGCCCAGAAGCCCAAGAGCTGACCCCAGCAGATTACCAGGGCTCTGATAAGGGGATGAGTTTGTGGCCTGCCACCCAAGTTTCCATTTGGCCTTCTAGAAACATTTCCCAACGTTCTAAGTCAAACCCCATTCACATCGGTTGAATGTTGGATCAAGCTTCACCTGAATCTATCTCTTAGTTCTCTATTTTGTTTGTGCCTATTTGGGTTAGGAAGGAGCTCTGGTGGCATAGTGGTTATGAATCTGGCTGCTAATCTCATGGTTAGCAGTTTGAAACTACCAGCTGTTCCACGGGAGAAAGATGAAGCTTTCTGCTCCCGTAAAGATTTACAGCCTCGGAAACCCTGTACAGGGTCACTATGGGTCGGAACCGACTCCACGGTACATAACAACAACAACAACAATTTGGGTTAGGTTTCCCGCTGTTTACAACCCATGACCTGTGGCTTCCCACCAATAGCCAGTCCCCAAACAAGAGGGTATCCGGGGTCTGCGGGACTGTGAGTATCTGGGTCTGCAGGCTGTGTCAAGACTCAGGCCCCATGCTCACCTCAGCAAATAACCCAAACTTGTCCTTGAAAGGGAACATATTTGGAAACCACTTGTTAATTAAATTCACAAGAGGGTCATCGTAACCCCACATGATCTCGCCAACGGTGCGGTTCATGAAGGCACGCTGGCCGAATGCGCTAAGTGTCATGGTTAGGACCAGCTTCATGGTCATGGGCTTGTCCTCCATCTTCATAGCCGCTCCCTGCACGGGAAGACACACACATGCATGACATACAGTCAGGTGATGCCAGCTGCTCCTCTGGTCTCAGCCGCCCCAGCCGCCCACTTGGAGCTTTGCTCTTAGAGCTTGCAGGTTTGTGGATTGGATAGGAAGGGACAATGGCATTGGCTGGTACTTCTGAGCAATATGCTTGGAATCCGTGGGGTGTGCAGTGGGCACTGCCTGCATAGAAATCCACACTCTCCAGAGCCACGAGCCAGGTCTGAGGAGGCTGCCTGGCAAGAGAGAACGATGCTCTCGGCAGCTGATGGTGGGCATGTGGGGTGGAGTGGGACTCGGGGGGCAACCTCACCAAGACCAGGATGTTGGGAATGACGATGTAGTCACTCTCCGAGCCGTGGGACCTGTCGGGCTGGAACTGGAAGCTGCGGTACTCAAGGAAAGACACTGTGTCGTTGTCATTGAAGGTGATGTTAGTCTTGTGCCTAAACTCCCTAGGAAGGGGCGAGAAGCAGAGGGGGGCTAGTATATGCGGGACCAACACCAGACTTCCCCGTGGGGTTCTTGCTTGGTGTTGAGGGCATCACACCCCCTAACACAGCCCAAGTGGGCTCAACTACCTTCTGCAAGCCTGTCCCTCTGCTACCTGCCCCCCAGCCAACTGCTGTCCCACCCCCAACCCACGTCCTTTTGCCTGCCTTAGCCCCCTCTTATACCCCAGTCACGCTATGGCCATTTGTCACCAAGCTGAGGTGACACACCAGCCTCCTGCTTCGAGTCCCTGATTTTTTATGGGAGGCCGTAGAGTGTACTCAGCAGCCAGAGACCAGGTGGTCGGGTCTCTGAGTCTACCTCCACGTGAACTCCCTCTTCTGGGCCAAATGGCATTCCCCAAAAAGACAGACTCCTGGGTACTGTTAACGTGACTTTATATGGATGTACTAGGGGCTTCCAAAAGTTTGTGGAAAATCTAATTAAAAGATAATGGAATTTCTCTGCCAAAAAAAATGTTTTGAAGCCTCCTCATAAATAATGATGATGAAGACATTAGAAATACAAAACGAAATCCAACACCACAGACTCTATTATAATTCATATTATTGTTAAGTGCCGAAGAGTTGGTTTCAACCCTGACTAGGATTTCCCACTCCTAGGGTCCCTGTATAGCGTTTCCGAGAAGTAGCTGGTGGGTTTGAATCACCAGCCTTGTGGTTAATAGTTCAGTGCTTATCCTACAGTGCCACACCAGGTCTGTCTGGATCCTGATCTTTTTAAGGGATCCTGGTGATACAGTGCTAACTGAAAGCCCGGCGGTTTGAATCCACCAGCTGCTCTGCAGGAGAAAAATTTGAGAGTTGGCTTCAGTAAAGAGGCACAGCCTAGGAAACCCGATGGGACAGTTCTACTGTCCTACAGGATCATTCTGACTTGGAATTGACTAGCTGGCAATGTGATTGGTTTGGTTTTGATCTCTGTTAGAGCAGACTTAGTGGTGCCATGGTTAAAGCGCTCACACTAAACACACACACAACCCACCCCTGCCCCTCCACTCAGTTACACCCTCGCTGCCTCACTGCTTTATAAAGGTACCCCCAGCATCATCACTGTACCTGGCCTGCTTCTGGAAGAAACTCAGACCAGAATCCCCACCTTCGGTCCACTCTGAGTCCACTGACCCTGGCCAGGGCTTCCCGGCTGGAACTCCAGGCCCTGGTCTCACCCAGGTTCAGTCATGCACATCCTTAACCTGTGCACATGTTCACCTGTACATGCATGTGCCTGTACATGCACTCACCTGGACATGTCCTAACCTTGCATGTCTTTGTACACATGTGTATCTAAACACATCCTCACCTGTTCACTAGCTCACTTGTTCATCTTCTCACCTGTGCAAGCCCTTATTGTACATATCCTCACCTGTATATGTTCTCACCTGTACATGCATGCATCTGTATGTGTGCTCACCTGTGCACACGCTCAACTGGACATGCCTTCATCTGTATGTGGCTTCATCTATACATGCCCTCACTATATGCACCCCTACCTGTGTACGCACTCACCTGTACACGTAGGGCCCGCGTTCCTGCACCTCTGGCTTCTCGCCCTTCAGGATCTCATCAGGGTTGACCACGTGAAAGAAGTAGACGGAGAGGTAGAATGGGACAGGGATCTCCTTCCACATGTTGAAGGACAGGCTATTTGGGTTAATACGCACATTCTGCAGAGAGAGAAAAGCGGGTCAGAGAGATGCATCATAGGTGCCTGCCCTTCACTCACCGCCCCCCCGCCCCATGACGGTTGGGGCGCTGAGTGCTGGAGGTGGAGGGAGAACCCAGTTTATATAATTAAGAGTAAAGCTGATAGGTAATACATTACCACTGTTACCTTTCACAATGTGTTTTGCCTATGATAGCTAACAGTGATAATGAGGGCGATAAACAGGGCGTTGGGGGGCATGCCCCAACTACAGGAGGTAGCTGACAGAGGCTGCAACTTACAGCAACCTGCAGGACTCCTGGTGACTGACTTTACTCTCTCACTTACTCATTTATTTATTCACTCACTCATTCATCACTCACACATTCACTTCAAGAACTGCAGTCAAGGATGCACCCCTCTGAGGGAAGGAAGTCACACATCAAAAAGGAAGACAATAGCTGAGCTCTGAGACAGAGGGTGGGGGGAAAAGCAAGAGGGGAAGAGTTAACTGAGATGTTAAGCAAGGTATTTAGGTAGATGACATGCAAGAAAATAAACAAAAAATGAAACAGAAACTAAAGGTGGAAAGGGCGAGAACCATGCAGTCTCAGAGAGGACAGATCTCCATACCGGGAGCAGCCAGTACAAAGGCCCTGGGGCAGGTGTTGCTTGAAACATGGCTGGGGGAGAGTATGATGGGGTAAGCAGAAGGAAATGAGAATGTGGCAGTTTTTCAGGAACTGGCATTTATGTGAAACCTGTGATTTATAAAGTTACGCAATTACTTCTTTTTCCTAAAAGGACTGGGGCCCATTCAACAAGTGTACCTATCAGAGACAGCTGTGTCTCTTGGGATGTTGGATCATTTTTCTATTGCTGAGTGGAGCTATGCAAATCAGGTGGTTGTGGCCCACCACAGGGATTGGACAGCTTGCTAATAAAGCAAATAAGGTGCATGACACCTTTGTGGGAGTGAGACTATACAAATTAAATGTATGGTCCAGAGGGCATGGAGGAAGGTAGAGTCTCCAGTGAATAGTATCCAGCCTGTCCAGGAATGGCTGATGAAATGAAATGCAGATGGGTCTCTTGTGATGCAATAGTGAATAATTGTTATCAGGACTGATAGTGAGGGTTGGAAATGTAAAGGTGGACATTTTATAGCAAGAAGGGGAGTGATTAACTTTTCAGTCTAGGAACGGAGGGCTCTGGGACCATCAAGGGAGAAGAACGGAGAGTGGGACCCTACCCAGAGAAGCAGTGAGATGTAGAGATGGAGTAGCTGGGGACTTTAGATCCAGAAAGGGAAAGGGGCTGTGTGCTGATGACTGGGGAGGAGGGGCAGGCTTGCAGAGTATACCCTTTGGTTGGGTGATGATGCATGGATGAGCTGGTAACTATGTCAATGAAATGATATATGATAGAATGAATGTAAAGCCGATATTCTCCCATGTAAACTATCATATAATTCACAATAAAACATTTATTTAAAAAAAAAAATTAAGTGTATGGTACCCTTAAAAGGGTGATTGGTCCATTTTTTCTTCTGAGAGGAGGAAAAGGAGGACCTCACCAACACCAAAAAGGAGGAGAAGGAAGCGAAGAGCAATCTACAGATCCCAGGTCCCTGTGCTGAGAACCTCCTAGACCCAGAAGCCAGAAAGAAAGCACTATAACACAGGAAATGGCATGAGACAATGACACACGGAGGCAGAGGAACAGGGCGCAGAACCAGGAGGTTGGCCATGAGATGGCACAGCACATTTCCCAGACCACGGGGCAAAGCAGTTACTGTGGGTGTGTCAAGTCACGGAGCAAGAGAGCTTCTCGGTGGAGTAGGGTGTGTCCAGGAACTTAGCAAAACTCCAGAGCTATGTAATACTTGCCAAAGAGCCAAGGGATTGAGAGGCTGGAGGCTAGAGCAAGACTGCCTGTGGGCCTGCTAAGAGCGTATCCCCACAGGGAAGAGAGTGCATCCTGAGCATTTGTGATCCTGAACTGTAACCTGATACCTCCCTAATAAGCTCGGTAACCACAGATGCGGTCTGTGAGCTCCATAAGGCCAGCAGACAGGAGAGGGTGTCACAAGGGAGGCATGTCTGACCCCCACCCCATGCTGATGGTGATTCTCTCTCCCTCTTGTGGAGTTAGAGAAGGTCAGATACCCCAGAGGGTACAAGGACATCCCTCAACTTGGCCTGGCCCGTCACCAGCACCCACAATGCTTGCAGCTCCAGCCCCCGGCCCATCAGATAAACACAAACATGCAAGCCAATGTCACAACGTCTCGGCTTGCGTCACTTTCCACCTCTTCTGAACATAACCTTCCAGGACAAGGACAGCCACCCCCACCCCCACCCCCACCCCATCCTCAAACAGTCAGAATCAACAGGCAGAGCCTGAGCAGGAGCTAGCTGCAGCCCCCTGACCCTGAGTGGATCTGGATGCAGCTGAACCCTGGGTAGAGCCGCTGGATTAGCCAGGCCAGTCATCTCTTTGCTGAGCCTCAGTTTCCCCATCCTGTAAAGTGGGTCAAGGGCTTGTGCATTAATAAGAAGAAAAGCTGAATTCATGGATGAGAATGGAAACCTGGGGGATATGATGTTTGTGGGAGGGTTCCATTATCTCTTAATTCCACGTTTCCAGGAACCTTTTGAAACCCCCTCATAAAAAGCAATAATTCAAAAACTGCTGCAACAGTACAGAGAGAGAACTGTCAGAAACTCAAGCCAGATTAAGAAGATGGCATGGAACGAGGGATATGATTGCTGATGTCAGATGGAACTTGGCTGAAAGACAAGAATACCAGAAAGATGTGTACTTGTGCTGTGTTACTTAAAGGCTTTCAACTGTGGTGGATCATGACAAGCTACGGACAACATTGTGAAGAATGGGTAGGCCTCTTGATTGGACTCATGAGGAACCTGTACATAGACCAAAAGGCAGTCGTTGGAACAGTATAAGGGGATGCAGATGGTCTAATATCAGGGAAGGTGTGCACCAGAGCTACATTCTTTCACCTTACTTATTCAAGCTCTAAGGAGCCTTGGTAGCATAGTGGATTAGAAGCTACACTGCTAAACGCAAGGTCAGTAGTTCGAATCTACCAGTCTCTCTGTGGGAAAAAGATGAGACTTTCTGCTTTCATAAAGATTTACAGCCTCTGTGACCCTAACAGGGTCACTAAGAGTCAGAGCTGTCTCAGGGGCACACAACCACCACCACCATTCAATCTGTATGCTAAGCAAATCATCCCAGAAAACAGATTATATGAAGAAGAACATGGCACCAGAATTAGAGGGAGACTTGTTAACAATCTGCAATATGCAGATGACACAACCTTGCTTGCTGAAAAGAAGAGGACTTAAAATATTTACTGATGAAGATAAAACACTACAGCCTTCAGTATGGATTGTACTTTAATGTAAAGAAAACAAAAATCCTTATCACTGGACCAGTAAGTAACATCAAGAAAAATTCAGAAAATATTGAAGTTGTTAAAGACTTCATTTTGCTTGGATCCACTATCAAGACTCATGGAAGTAACAGCCAAGAAAGAAAACGACATATTGCATTAGGCAAATCTGCTGTACAAGACCTCATTAAAGTGTTCAAGAGCTAACATGCCTCTTGGAGGACTAAGGTGCCCTTGACCCAAGATAAAGTATCTCCAATAGTCTCACAGGCAATGAATAGTGAAAGCTGGACAAGGAATAGGGAACTCCGCAGAAGAAATGATGTGTTTAAGATGGTTTTGAGTGGGACAAAGGCAAATAATGATGTATGCACAACCTTGGAACAACAGGGCTGTGGGATACAGAGATTGAGACATGGTTTGAATGAGGAAAAAGGGGAAATAATGTTAAGACTCTTGGCTGTCTTTTGAACCTTGGTTTCCCTGACATACCATTATAAAATAGACACTGGAGGGGAAGAAAAAGGAATAGCCAGAAATACCACCATAGAAAGCTTGTAAGCCCATCTTCTACCCATAACTGATTGGAATACCTAAAATGGGGATACAACGTGCCCAGTGAAGGAGGCTTCCTGTGGAGCCTCTACATTACACAAGACCATAGGTGGAATCCTGAACAGCATCCAGAATATTCCGAGAGGAAATTTCCACTTGAAATGACAAGCAGACCAGACTGGAGCAGCCAGAACAGAAGATACTTCCTGAAAGAAAGACTGACAGGAAAAATACAAAACAATATAGGCAGACCGACTGATTACTACAAGACTGAACAAGTGGCACCAAGGCAAGTGGTCGGGTCCCCCTCAGGGGAAACCCCCTTCTAAGACTAAGACTCAATGGGAATACACGCCCTGCCCTGATTGGTGACCACGTTCATCACTGATAAGTGAGGGAAAAGCAGCAATGAAGCTGTAAGCTGAGCCCTACAATACTCAACAGACTCCTGTGAACCTGGATGGAGACCTGGTTGACGAACAGTGTGACAAGTCCAGGGGACTCTTGGACCCAGAGTTAGCGACATAGCCACAGAGGACTAGAGTGGAGAGTGAAGCATCCAGCTAATAAGAAGAGAGGGCATATGCATAAGTACACCCACACTTGCAGATAATACCCACTTGACCTAGCTTCAATGACTGGATGATCAGAGCTCAACCAGACGAAGTAAGACAAGGGATAAAAGAGTAATCTGATACAATTTGATGAACTTGACCTACACCTATGGATGCAGCTCAAAAGAGGGAACAAATCTTCACAGCGTGGATCATTCCCACCTCCTCCACACATGGAGAGGACAGGGATGGGCAACTTGGACAATGGCTACCCAGAATGGGGGGGGTGGGGGATACAGAGGCAAGAAGCGACTGGCTTACAAGCTTTCAAGAGGGAACCAGGTGCTAGGGAGCATGGCGGAAGGCAGAATCTCCAGTAGGTACTATTCAATCTGTCTGGGTGGAGCTGATTAAAGGAGATACAGATGGGTAACTCGTAATACTGTAGTGAATAATGCTTATCAGGATGGACTATGAGGGTTGGAAATGCAGAGG